TCTCATTCAGCTCGTCTGCTGCTTCTGTTTCATGCAGATATTTTTATGTATAGTTTCACAAAACTGAAGTCAAACCATTCTGTTTTTGATTCAAATGTCGAAATTATACAATGTAATTTAGATTAAAAACTGCTCATGTTGCATGTATGCAGCATCTTTGTTTGGATCATGATTAAAATGTAGTGGTTGCCTCTAATTTTACATAGAAAGAGCACAGACAAAGCCTTATTTTGTTTATATGAAGAGATTTATTTGATTTGTGTTACTTATTTATTTGATTAATAAGTCAAATAATTGGGGCTTTTTTAAAATTTCTATTTAGTTTTGTTATTTACATTTACATTATATTTCAATTTTGTCATTTAGCAGACGCTTTTATCCAAAACGACTTACAAATGAGGACAATAGAAGCAATCAAAACCAACAAAAGAGTAATTATATGCTATAAGTGCCATATTAGTATATTATTATAGTGTTATATTTAAATTTCACAAAGAAATGTGGAACATTTTGTCCAAGCAATAATAAAAGGACACATTTAATTTATAATTTGTCTTAAATCTAATTTTGTAAAAAAAAAAAACGTGAATCGAATCATGGAATCAAAATCGTGAATCGAATCGAATCGTGAGTTGAGTGAATCGTTACATCCCTATTTGTTTAACGAGATGAAGTTGGTTGGTGATGTATAATATCCTGTGGTTGTTTTCATATGGGTCGTTTTTATTGCATTGTAAGCCTAACTGCATTTTTTGTGTAATTGCGAATCTCTGTGTGCAGGGAGGCAGCCAAAGAGTGCCGCAGAAAGAAAAAGGAGTATGTGAAGTGTTTGGAGAACCGTGTGGCTGTCCTGGAGAATCAGAACAAGACTCTTATCGAGGAGCTCAAGACATTAAAGGACCTGTACTGTGTTAAAACTGGCTAGTGGGACATCCATCCAATCATGCTAATGGGACTTTGCTGGCAGACCTGTCTGCCTACGTGCTTATAAAAACACAGACACAGGGACTTTTTTCTGGCATGAGGATGCATTTAATCCTCATGTCAAATGCTTGTTTTTATACAACTAATTTTTAACTAATAGCCTAAGAACGATTGACCAGTAACAACAGCAACTGTTATGCTTTTCAGGATAGATGGAAAGAGGGATACGCTTTTCCATTAACATATTTTTTATTTGCAGTCAACAGATGTTTATATATGTGTATGTGTCTTGTGCAAGCATTGGCACATCTGCACTGGGAGATCTCGCTTTATTCTTGACCCATTTGGTTTCCAGGGAATATTGAATGTTAATTTTATTTGAAGCGCTAGCTGAATTTTGATATATCCAGATAGAAGACTGGTATTTTTACACCTTATCTCAGATGCGCTTGTACATATGAAAATTGTGACGTGATTGTGTTTTTCATGAAGTCATGCAGCTGTGTTCTTTGCATTTTTGCTAATTTCCCCTTCTTAGGAAGCTCTGGTATTCTTATCCCCATTCCGTATTTTATTTTAATGAGTTTTAGTGAGAGGTTTTCTACAGAGACTGAGCAGAATTTAAGGTGAGGACTTTCAGCTTTATTATTATGGGTAACATGAAACAGTGGTAAGCTCATTTAAGCCTTATTCTGGATTGATAGACTCATATTGTAGAATTCAAACCTATGTCCTTTGTAGTCCAGGTCTTTGTAGTATGTCTGATTGGTCTTTAAGGCATATACACACTTGGGTTGGGACTGTTGTTGGTTTTAGCTGAGTAATAGGTCTGAGGCTTACCACTGTTTATAAGCCAAGCTGTTACAAGACAATCGAATCAGGGAGTATACAATGAAAAAAAGCCTGATGTCACTTGTTTTTGCTAGAGTGAATCTAAATAAATCTTTTTTTTTTGTTTCTCTCCCTTTCAGTTTCAGTGTTGTTTTGTTGCTTGCCTAATTTGTGACTCAGAGGCCCTTGGAAAAACTCCACTCAGTATATTTGGAAAAACGTAATAAAACGAATTATAGCTTTGATTTTTTCAATTCCATAAATAATTAAAAAATTTATTTCCAAGCTTAGGAAAAGTACAAAAACACAATCAAAGTCAAAGAAATTTCTGTAGTGAATCAGCTATACATATATATGTTGGAAAGGAAGCGTCTTAAAATTTAAAGTTGGAGAATGCAAGATGGTCTTTTTGAGTATTTAGCTAATGCCGTAGTATTATAACAAGTATGGAAGTAGGAAGGAAAAAGTATTAAGGTATGCTTCATTTTTTTTATGTGTTACTTTGTATGACATGCATTCCTCCTAACCACTAGAAGGCAGTATAGCTCTCGTACGGTGGCCGAGAGAGCTCAACGCGCTGCAACTTAAGAAAGTAGGATATTACAATGCAAATTTTAATACAGAAAATATAATTTGCAGGTCAGCACCATTATTTATTATTATTATTTTATTTTTTTTTATACATTATGTGAAAATGTTAAAGGAGGAGCATATATTAATCGTTTTAATTGCTTTACTATTTTTAGATTTTGACATCACATCTACAAACATTTTAATCTCTTTTCCAAGCACCATAAAAAGAGGTTTGCCTTTTGTAAACTTGCATTTATGAATGTGAAATTTACATAAAAATAAAATAAAATGTATTATAAAACCAACATCCTTTAAAGAGCGATCCTTGATATAATAACCCAAAATCACATGTTTATAAGATAAGGAAAATGTTTTTAAAATATTATCAGCAATGAAACCCTCCACATTATTCCAAAAATGCTGGGTATATCGGCAGGACCAAAACAAATGAGAAATTGTTTCAGTGGAGCATTCACAAAAAGAGCATTTTAAACCTACATCAATTTTAAATTTTTGTAGGAATTCTTTTGTTGGATAAACTCTATGAATTAATTTATATGAGATTTCCTTAACCTTATTTGTAAGGAGGAATTTTTGAGGTAACGACCAAACTTGAGTCCAATTTACATTATTAAATATATTGTTCCAGTAGAAAATAACATAAGGTGTAGAAATATTCTCTTTTAAAAACAAGGATCTAATTTTTATAGTTGTTAGGCTTTAACCCCGAGAAACAGATAGAGCCGACTAAGGTATGTTCAGGTCTAGGAGGACAGACAGAAAGTGCGGATGTACATATACTGCTTTTGAACAGCATATGTACACCTGCAGGAATGGCCCTAGTAAGCACCTTGGTGTTTTTTCAATTTGCATGTGTTTTCTTAAGTTGCAGCGCGTTGAGCTCTCTCGGCCACCGTACTCATGCATTAACCATAAACTCACAAATGCTGGCCTGCATAAATTTCCAAAAGACTATTTTATATAGATGAAAGTATTTTGTTGTTTTACCTGCTGGTATTTTAGTATTTAATAGTGCTGTGTTTTACAGACAGAATACTCATGCAACAAGATAGTCATATAAAATGTGAGATTGTCTTGAGATTGTCTTTTTACATTAAACAAAAACTTTGTATTTTATACATTCAATACAAATTGCTCTTTCATACAAACATTTAAAAGTGCATAGTGAAATGAATCAGGCTTACTGAAAGAAAACATGCTTGAGAAAGCCTTTAGAAGGTTTTTCTTTCTGCGATTATTCATATTCATCATTTGACTGCATGACCAACAATGTGTGGTTTGAGCATAAAAAATAAAGGAGCTTGGATGTGGCGTAGCTGAAGGTCAGAAAAGCAAGCTGCCTCGAGGTGCTTCCAAGTAGCACGGGTTGTATCACAGCCATTGTTCATATAGTACCTGACAAGTATACATATACATACATATATGATGACTATAAACTTACATACAGTATTTAAAGGCGTTCTTATTCCATAGAGGACATATGCTTTGTTACTAGTATTCCATCGTTGCGTTAAATGAATACATTCTGGAATATATACAGTATATATATATATTGTATATACACTGAACAAAATTATAAACGCAACACTTTTGTTTTTGGCCCCATTTTTCATGAGCTGAACTCAAAGATCTTAGACTTTTTCTATGTACACAAAAGGCCTATTTCTCTCAAATATTGTTCACGGTGCATTTTATTGATGGCATTTTTAATGCACAGAGATACCCTGACGAGATCCTGAGGCCCATTGTCAGCAGGGACTGGCACTCTCTCTGGCAGCTGCCAGAGTTTGTGGCAGCTGCCACTAGTCGTTTCTGGCAGCTGCCAGAATTCGTGGCAGCTGCCACGGTCTTTCTCGCCGTTTCTGCTGTTTGCTCGGTAAAACTACACTGTTCTCAGTGGCAATAAGCTAAATTGCATAAGCATTTTCCCATAAAGAACATACACACACATAAGGAGTGCCAGAGGTCATGTCACTTAATGTTAAAACTGCTGTTGCCGCTAGCCAATACTGTATATATGCACAAACATGTCATGGAATGCCAGGAGAAAACAAGGATAGATCCAAATGCAGTTTATTCAAGTATAAAATAAACAGAACAGAAACGTGGCAAAAGGTAATCCAAAACACAGGGAACAGATAACACGATGTAACCTTAACAACATCAAACACAAACATCAGATATCAAATAATACTGCAATTTTGTTCAGTGTATATGCTACTATATGGAATTTTACATATTTACTCTAGCTGGAGATAAATAACTTTACAAAAGTTATAAAAACATTTTATGAAGACCATAAGTAAATAAAATGATAAAATAGTTTTAATAATTTTGTGAATATTGTTTTTATTTTACCAGAATGGTTGAAGAACATGTTGAAAAAAGTAAATCCAGCTTGAGGGGTCAGACACCACATGTTCAAGGAAGAATAATGCTCCTCCCTGAAGAAAGTACAAAATGTATATTTCTCAACTCAAAACTACTTGAATACGGTTGTTTTGTTTAAAATGAACTAGTATTTTAAAGCACTTAGGAACAGTAGCCTACTAATCTGTATTATAAAATGTGATAATACCAAATGTGTTATCTTTCAACCTGAGCAATGACTGTCCTAAACTTACAGGCCTCAGAACTCTCTTTGCTTCTTGCAGAACCTTCTGTGTATCCTGGACTGAGCACAGAACCAGCGTGCACACCACAACATCCATTGAGTTGTCCTCCACCGCCTTCAGATTCTCCCCCGACGCCACAATGAAGCTGTCATAAACGAGGTGGTCGTTCTTCACCGTGCTTTTCTCCAGGTACTTTTGGAAATGCGGGTTGGGGTCGATGCATGTGATCCTGCAGCCCGTCGGGTAATGCTCAAAGTTCGCCCCGGATCCGCAGCCCAGCTCCAGGATGCGCAGAGAGACTTTTGGGGGGAAGAATTTGTCTAGGTTTCGAAATAGTTCCCTTTTCTTTTCCTTCATCATTTCATTGTACGCTAACGTGAAATTATATACGAACCGAGGAAAGAAGCGTTTGTAGAAAGACGCAAGTCCAATCACCGCCGCAATGTGCAGCGGTAGAGTGAGGACATTGACTAAAAGAGCGCAAGCGTTCATAAACAGCGTCATTTTTAACGACAAATCTGGAACACTAACAGCTACATCTGGTAGACAAGAGGTTTGCGCGCACCTTGTGACAACTGACCAATCCGCGTCTTTGACGCATGTGATATACTCCAGAAAATCAGTACTCCAGTCTGACGCCAGATGGCGACCGTGTATAAATAATAATAGTAGTGGATCCTCCTTTCTTTTCCTCACTAAAAGTCACCCTCGAAGAAATGAATAGTAGTTTTGAGAAAAATGTTTAAAAGCGTGTACACTCGTTCAAAGGCTTATACCTAATAAAAGCTTATTCTACATGGAGCGGGTCTTCTCATTAGGGACAATACTGAGATCACATGACCAAATAAACACTTTTTTTTATTGCAAAAAAAAAAGGAACATACAAATAATAGCAATACAAATGATAAACAAATAAGAAACAAAAAAGCATAGCTCACATTTAATTTTAACAAATAAAGATATTACAAAGTACCAGGGGGATTGAAGATTGTATCATAGTATTTTAAACATGTCACAGACTTTTTATTTTTTAACAGTCTTATTGAAGAAAGATAAAAGTCAAAATCAGAACAAAACAAAATTTACAAAGGAGACGAATTAAGATATTTTTGATTATGTATGTGCAGTTTTGCTAATAAAATAAAAAGGTTAACAAATAATTCTAGATCTTTGTTGCTTTTGTTTTCATAATACAAGATAACATCCTTTAAAGTAAAGCAATAATTAATATTCATTTAATTAAATATAAACTCTGCCAAATCCATCCAAAACCTGTTTACGACGTTACAGGCAAAAAAATAATCTCTTTCTCACTGTTACATGACTAAATGAACACTATTCTTTTCACAAGACTGTGATGACGTGTTTCAATGGTCATCGGCATTGTAAATCCTCCAAAGTTGTTTATATTTTCATTAAAAAAAATGTTTTACATTTATAACACTATACTTTGTATTATATTACTTTAGCAAATTACAAAATAAATAAATGAAATAGTTTAGACTAATGCGAGGGTGTTTCTAAAATGTATATAGGAACATATCTATAGGAACATATATTTGACATCGTTCTCCCTTCTGACTGCCATTATCAGTCTTTTTTTTTTTTTTAATGTTTCCATAATGTTTGCAAGAAAATAAATGCTCCTTAAAGTTTGAGAGCATTCAGATATAAAGTTGTTATAACTGGGTAGCTACATAGATAGTAGAAAAGCAGGATAAAGAGAGATTTTAAATCTGAGTTGGAAACTAATTGCTCTAAATCATTCTTCTTGTCTACTGGAGTAAAAGGCGGTGAGTAATCATAAAAACATAAGACTTTTATGTAGCAGCTAATTTTGCTTAAGGTGTATTACAGTGCATTCAGTAGATTGTACTGTTGTTTAACAACATACCAATCGTTCAGCTGATGACATGTCTTTCTGAGAAAAACTTTCAATAGACAAAAACTCCATTATTAAGATAAATGGACCATTTCCGGGTTTCTCACCAGCGGAAGTCATCATAGTTGTGTAAACTTCTATAGCAGTGAATGGGAGTCTAAGAACCACATATATATATATATATATGTGGTTCTTAGACTCCCATTCACTGCTATAGAAGTTTACACAACTATGATGACTTCCGCTGGTGAGAAACCCGGAAATGGTCCATTTATCTTAATAATGGAGTTTTTGTCTATTGAAAGTTTTTCTCAGAAAGACATGTCATCAGCTGAACGATTGGTATGTTGTTAAACAACAGTACAATCTACTGAATGCACTGTAATACACCTTAAGCAAAATTAGCTGCTACATAAAAGTCTTATGTTTTTATGATTACTCACCGCCTTTTACTCCAGTAGACAAGAAGAATGATTTAGAGCAATTAGTTTCCAACTCAGATTTAAAATCTCTCTTTATCCTGCTTTTCTACTATCTATGTAGCTACCCAGTTATAACAACTTTATATCTGAATGCTCTCAAACTTTAAGGAGCATTTATTTTCTTGCAAACATTATGGAAACATTACTTTTACATGTTCGCTGAACATTCTGAAACAAGTAGTAAGATTTTAAAAAATGAATCAAAAACGTTTAAGGAAATCTATCTATCTATCTATCTATCTATCTATCTATCTATCTATCTATCTATCTA